TATCCCTGTTGACCTATCAACTCTGCATGAAGCTCTCTATCTCCTCGACTCTGAAATATATAAAATTGTAAAATAGTTTTTCTCTTCAAACAATATAGATATAAATAGTAAAATAAACGTGCGTAGAATGAACGCTTACGTGCGAGGAACATCCGTCAGATTTTCCACTCCGGTTTCCGTTATGAGGACGTCATCCTCGATCCTGACGCCGCCGAAACCGCGGAACCTCTGCAACTGTTCCGGCACGAAGAATTTCTTTTGATACGGATTGGCAAGAGCTGAGTTCAGCAACTGTAAAACGAAAAATTGCTCCGTGTGAATATTCGAAAAGACCCGGCTCTAAAGCTCGGTATATAAAAACCTATTCGCCAATTATCTTATTCGCCAATTATACACTTACGAAGTCAATGAAGTAACAGCCCGGCTCCACCGTGAGAACCATTCCGGCGCGCAGTACTCGCGCGGTTCTCAACTTTCTCAATCCTACTTGCTTCGGGCGTTCAGGATGACCGGACAGATATCCACCGACGTCGTGCACATCCAGCCCCAGCAAGTGGCCCAGCCCGTGAGGCTGGAACACTTCGTTCAAGCCCATTTTTATCATCTCCTCGACGTCGCCCACCAGCAGTCCACCCTCAATCAACGCCGTCAACATGACCCTGTTCGCCAGCAGATGCATGTCCGTCCAGGCGACTCCCGGCTTCGCGGCCGCGAGCACCTCGTTGCGCGCCTTCAGCACCGCGTTGTAGATCAGCTTTTGATCCTCGGTGAACTTTCCGTTGGCCGGAAAACTGCACGTAATGTCGGCCGCATATCCGCAGTAATTGCCGCCCATGTCGAACAAGCTGCAAAGAGAAAGAGCGTGTTACACAAATATTATAACGCGCAATGTATATAAGACATATATATATATATATATACTCTCGTTTGTATCATCCTTAAAATGTACACAAATGCCGACGCTGCTTTATATTGTAGCCATGCACTTAAACGATGCTTGCTCGATTTACGACTCGCGGTTTCGAATACGGAAGCGATGCGTGCATTCGTTTCCTGCATCACTGCCGGCTTAACCATTACGTGACTGGTGTAGTGTATACGTATATCACCCTTTCTTACGGAGCAGATATTTATCACCGTGCACTTTCGTTCATTCGTCGAGCACGTGGAATGCCACGTTTTCATCGTGAACGTCGAGTTCGCGAGTAACCGACGTGTACTCACGACTGCAGTAGTCTCTGAATACAACGGTGAGATTGATAGTCCTTTAAAATAGCGCTTTACATTTATAATGTAACCAGAAAATTATTGTAATTTATAATCTCTTGATAACTAATGTATATTGATCGTTAATAAACATAACTAGTCAAAATAAAGAATCATAAATTAAATTTTGATTCTGAGAAAAGAGAATCGAATTCTGAACATTAAAACTTTGAAACTTCTTTTGAGAATTAATAAGTAGTTAATAAACATGATGTTACGTTAGTGACGTTTATAAGAATAATTAAATAAAGAAATTTATGAATAAGATTGGTATGTAGCTTTATCCAAAGTAGAGCTACAAGTTGAACTACAGCGAAACGGACAACTTTCACGCAGTTCGAAAATAATCGGTGACATAATGCACGACGATGTTTAGTTCGCTCACCATAGTCAACGACTCGATAGGCAACGCAAAATTCCGATTGTAAAATTCGAGGTTCAGCATAGTTGCAAGGAAAACACGAGGAAAAGAGACACGGTCGAGCCACTTTCACGTAACGATATCGCCGTAATCTACGATGTAATGTGGAATTACATAAACCTTGTATGAAAGGTATATTGAATTTCATGCAGGAAAAAAGAATTTACTATCGTTGCAATCTTATTTGTAAATAGTTAATTTCTTTCATGTTTAATGTCACGTGCTACATATTACACGATACATGCTGAAGCTCAAACACTTGTGTCTATTTCTGTCTCGAAAATTTTATTAAAATGTCTCACGTTTTCTTTTTTTTTCTTGCTGCGGTTAATAAATGGCGAATAACGCTTTAACAAACGTGAATAACATTGGTGAATAAAATTGGGAATAGATTTTTACATATAATGTAATATAAAAATAATTTATAAAATAGAATTAATAAATATTACAAAAATAGTTTTATGTAAATATTAAATATTTTTAAATACGCTATGTAATTTGTGTATGCAAAATCAAATTTGTTGAAAAATGTACAATAAATATTACTTAAAAAAAAAATAAAATTAATTTATTAATATTAATGATGAAATTTTTCTCTTAATCTAATAATTAATTGTATCTTTATTTTTTATTAATGTTTTATAATAATTTTTCGACTTAATCTTAATATCTTTTTTATCTAATTTTACTTTTATTAAACTAAAATTCAAGCAAAATTATTATCTTACAATTCTCCGTACTCCGCAATTGTCTGTATAAAGGAGACAAACATGTACCGTGCCGCACATTGACTTTTCTGGTACCGCGCCGGTCACTTCCTAGCGTAACTGGTGACTGCACGGGGCGCATTGGTTCGTTGCGTTACGTGACGACGGGCGGGGGATTTGCACGCGAAAAAAATCGGTCGAAACCCGTCCAACCATGAAAGTTGGTGGTGGCCGACGGTACGGTTCGGCCCGCGACGACCGGGCCCCATATAGAAGTTGCGTCGCGACGCGGCCGCCAGTTTCGTCCCGCTGCCCTTCGGATATCGTCGCTCAGCAATCATGAGATTCCTCGTAAGTCCACGCGATCGCGACCCTAAAAGCCTCGCGAAATTCCGCGGCGCGATGCACGCGCGGAGAAAGTGCGATCAAAGTCGCTCCGCGGAGCGATCGACGTTCGAGCGAGTGCTCGCGTTTGCTTTCCAATCTCACGTTGATCGTAAAATCGTCGCAGTTTTATTCCTAAGTCCACGTAATCGAGGGAGAAAATAAGAAGATAAGAGCAAAACTTTATCGTTCGTCGATCGCCGAATGTTAAGTACCTTCACCATTCCCGAGCATAAAAAATTAATTAACAAAACCGAACGATTCGCGTTTAACGATTTCTCTTTTCCTTTTTTCATGACAGGTTCGGTATATTAGATTATCGAATTAAGGTACAGAAAGTTAATCAAAATAGGAAATTCGCTAAAATTTTAATTAATTCTTTTTATTCAGCTCAATGTTTCAATACGTAATATTCTTTAAAAATTTATAACCGATTTTCCTAAAATATATATCGTTATAAACCCTTATAAATATTATTTTAATTCTCTTATATCCTATTCTGTTCAGAGGAAGTCTGAATAGAATAGGATATAATATTCTATTCAGAGGAAGATCGAGGTATTTATAGGTATATTTTATTAACGATTTGAAATATTACGAAAACCGTTATTAGTTATTACAAAATCGACAGCCTTTATTTTTCAATTCAAGGATCATTATATAATATCGTCACAGCGAGATACTTTGCACGCAATCGTTACGCATGGAAAATGTCGCATTGCATTTCTTCCGATATGAATCAAGCTCCATTGAACAAGTAGACGGCGACCTAGTTAAATTTACCAGTCTACATGTCTGAATAATTAATTTATTTCTCGCGGTGCAAAAATTACGGCGCCAATATATATATGAATAATCAATGTCAGCTAGAAATTCTATTTATATCTTGCAAGTAAAGATTTTTCAGCTTTCTAAGATACAATTTCCATTTTAAGCTAAACTACATATGTATATAAAAAATTACGCACACATTCTTCCGACTTTTATTGACTCAGTTATGTAAAAAATATCTATTTTTTTCAAATTTTTTCGTATGTAAAAAGCATTATTATTGTTATTATTATTAATAGTTGATATATTATTGTCTTTCAGTTATTCATCCTGGTCGTGGCGCCCGTGCTGGGAACGGAATTCCACAGTGAGTAACAAATTTAACGGACATATTTCTCGAGAATATATCTTCTGTTCTCTTTCTGTTGTCAAACTAACACAAAATCCATTTTCTTGTCGATAAGTGCAGAAGATTTGCATTTACTTCCAATTATTTTATAGGCCACATCCGGGAACGCAGGCAAGCGCAGCAAGCCAATTACCGTGCTTACAATCAAGCACCGGCAGCGATCAAGCAGATATTGGCCGCGCAGCAGTATCGCGATCCGCTCGTTCATCTTCCGCCGCAACCGGTGCCGAATCTGGCGCCTGCGAGACCCATTGAGCCTCAGTACTTGCAGCAAAACCAACTGACTCAGTATCGACCGAATGTACAAGTAGGTCAGGCGCCTGCTCAGCCGACCTATAAGGACATTCCCGTAAGACCGGCAGCGTACACTCCGCCGGCCTCCGCTCAGCAACAATACAACCCGCAATATCGCAGCAATTATTCGCCGCAGCCGCTACCGCAGCCGCAGCAGCAGCAGCAGGCTGCGACCAATTATCAGTATTCCAGAAATCTGCCACCGCAGCTCCAGCAGCTCGTGCAGATCCAGCAGAACCTGCCTAATGCGATTCCGCAAGGACATCAGGGATAATCTGCCTGATTAGGTCATCGGGATGACGATTTGTCTACAAGATGTCGGTCGTTCCCTTTTTGTAAGAATATACCGATCATTCCCTCTGCATCATTTTAACCATTGCATTCATCATATTTTATTATTGATAAATTCGTAATCTATTCATAATCCTCGCTGAAACGCGAGGAATAGTAACTGTTTTTTTTCTTTTCGTAAATATTTTATTATAAATTCATTATGTTAATTTGTTGAAACGAATTAAATCGGAAAAAGTTTTCTAAGAGTTTATATTTTTATTCCAATAGTTACAGAAAAAAATTATATTGATTTATTGAGACAAATTAAATGAAAAAAAAATTTTTAACAGCTCATATTTTTATCTTAATAGTTAAAAAATTAATTTTCGCTAAAAAATTTCACTTTTATAATAACTTGTGTCATTTCCTTGATTCGTATTTTTACGTTCATTAAATTCCACTCTCATTTCACACATCATTTCATTCATTTCACAATCGCACGGATTTTCATATCGATTTATGAAACGTGGGAATATGTATCGTATAATGAAAATTGTGGGAAGAAAATTTGTATAAATAAATTTCATTCGAGTTTCTCGATCTAAAACTCACACAAATCGTTTTATCGTATTTTTATTGTATCAGATCGTCGCTTTAAGATTTTAAGATTACACTGTCATCGTTTATGTCAACTTTGAGACGTATGTTTGCCGTTTAATTATGCACCCCTTTATCGTTCCTCTCTTGGATCTACCGGCCACTTTGAACTATCGCGAGACGACAGTCGCATTTCTTTAAACTGAATTTGTTCCGATACATGATATCAGCCTGCATGAAAACATATTTCCGTCGACAAATGCAATTAGAGAGTACGCTCGCGTATGCACTCATAACGCGCGGCATAGCTCAGCCGAGAAATCCGAGGGTATCATCGCACCGATGGTTCCGCACAAGGGGCGTATCTGCGCGTCACCACTCCGGCAGGACAGGCCGGAGAGAGAAAGAGAGAGAGAGAGAGAGAGAGAGAGAGAGAGAGAGATCATCCCCTTGTGCGTAAACTCCCTTCCCGCGCCGCTGTGATCGTGACGGCGGCCCGCACGAACGAATGCAGTCTTCACTTCGCGCACCCCAGAGAGGCGCACGCACCGCAGTCACACCACCCCTCCCTGGCCCCCTCTCGCTGCCGATTCTTAGCTCCGTGCATCCCGTGAATGCGTACCCCCTCGCAGACAAACAGGGAAGAGGATTAGCGAGTCCATTAAAGTCGCGGACTCTATTATCCGGAGGGCACGGCCACGGTGACATCAACCGCTCGTCATTGGCGTAGACCCATATGGACCTTTGCGAATCGAATGTTCACTCTTTTTGGGGAGAATTTGTCCGCTTAGAGAGAATTTGTTCTTGCGGGAAGGGAACAATTTTAACAGATTTATTTCTAAAACATTCAAGAATAATTTATTCTTCATTCCGTCCACCGTAGAATAGGTATGATAATTATTTCGAGCGACAGCCTCTTGGAACATATTATAACGTTACATTCTATATATAACTAAGTGTAATTTATTTACGTAATAGACTTAATTTTATTTAATTTTGTAATATCTTATATTATCGTTTACTAGTGCAGTTTTATTTACATGCTTTTATTTGTGAAAGCACAATGGTAATTAGAATTTTATAACGAAAGTGGCGCACCGATGGTTAGAAGATCGTCGGAAAACGCGCGGGGAAAGGTCCACGGGAAAAAATCGACGCCACTGAAAAGGGGGAGGGGGGTCATAGAGGCAAATTACAAAGGGAGGATTACCGGCAGCTGGGCTACCAAGCAACCATGTCTATTCTGGCCTTCGCGAGCGAGCGAGTGAACCATCCACGTCGCTCGAGAGCTCTTTGTCCTTCGACGCATTGGTAACATAATTATCGGAGTTATAGCAAGCCAAAAACCCAAGCCGCATCCAAAAGGGGTGACGAGCGGTTAAGGCTGTGACACCACGTGTACGCGCGCGCACGTGGAATGCGTCTATCAAGAGATTTATTGGCGAATCTGCTGAGTCGCGTTCAACGCGATTTGAGAAAAAGTCCTCTAAACATTTGCTGTAAAGTATAAAGGATGTGTATCGAGCATATTGCTCGCCTTTTCGTGTAATTTTACATTGTATTCAGAATGTATAAGAATAACATATGCATGTGCTAATCTCTTTTAGTTCGCGCAATTTCTCCGGCAATAATTTATCCTGCTCTTTATAATTAACTCTTTATAGTTACAAGTATGATATGCAATTGTTATTAAACAAAAAAATTTACAAACTATAACGTCGTACAATATCGCATTGTAACAGCTCACAGTATTATGTACTTACGCGTATAAGTACAATAAATCTCAATATTGTAGTAAAATATTAACAGAAAAATTAAAAATTCGATTTTCCTTTGCTCCGTTTCTTTAAATTTTAGCTACTGTTCAATATTTAATATTCACAGGATATATACGCCCATGATTAGCATCGACGAAAAAACACTGCCATAACTACACGTTTAATGGAGCCCCAGCTCATGAAGCGTGATCGAGAAAAAATGCAACGGCTAGCATTTCATTCGTAGATATAGACTACGCAATGTGCTTTGCATGGCTTTTGTGCAGCTAATTACGAGGCTAACGCGATATAGGTGCATATCTCGGCTCGCTGAAACGTATGTTTTTCGTCCGTGGATTTCGCAACGGCGCTAACGGGTGTCATGTTTCCTTCGTCGAAGCAATACGAGGAAAAAGAGAGAGGAGGTCGGCTTTCGTGGCTTTCATCGACGAGAAATATGTCAGCCACTTGAATTCGAAAGTATCTATATGAAGTGTCCTGAGTTTCTTGTACTTTTGATTTTTATGTGTTTGTAAATTTTAATTTTTGACAATGATAATCAAGACGTCAATATTGTTGAAATTGAATATGTTTGTGAAGATGTAAATATTCAGTTTTAGAACTCATTAGATCGAAGCGTGTACATAAAACTTTAAAACTTATTAGATCGAACATTGCGTTTACGAATAATAGCTTAATATATGTTTAATTAAAAATTAATTTTGATAAATTTTTTATTATAAACTAATGATAGATGTATTAAATATTTAAAAAGAGGAGTGACACACCTTGTATATTCGACACGTTGCAAATTCCGGTGTACAAACCGCGATTAATGTTACCTCGTTATACTATTTTATTGCAGCTCGCTAAACCGCACATTCACTTAAATACAAGTCTTATGATCATTTCTTCACGAGTATATATGAGAAAGGAAAGGTCAACATTAAAAAAAAAACTAACTTTTATGCTCTTTAGAGTACTGTAATATTTAATTTATTTTTCTTTATTTTATTCAGTTATTTGTGAAATAAATAAAAAAATTTTTCATATATATTTTTCAAGATAAAAACTATTTCTGTGTGTGCGATATAATTTACATACTTTTCGATCGGTATTTTTAAATCAGTTTTTATTTTTTTACAGTTAAAACAATTGCAATAGAATGCAAGTTCAAAATTGCATTTTTAATTAAAAAAAAATCACGATCATCATTTTTATATCTGAATGTTGGCGCGTTTGTTCTTGCAACTTTTGAAATATTAAAAAAATATTTAACGAAGTAAGCTTTCATAACAGTCCGAAATGACACAAGGACAAGCGTGTGAAACGGGTTGTGGTCTGCCGGAGTGATTCCAATAATTGCGCTTAATCCTTAGGGTGACGGCACGCGGCAGACAATCGTGGACGAGTCCCCGGCGCAACCCTCTGTCTTTCTCTCTCCGCCTCTTGACCATTTTCTCCCGCTACTACTAGCTTATTCCGGATTCCCTTCAGAAGTGTTAGCAATGATTATGACGGGATTTATTTCAATAACAGAGGCACGCCGCGTTTCTGTTTGTCATAATCGGCACACTCGTCCCACACGCGGAATACTCTACGTGTCACCAGCAACAGTCAAGGGTATCGCCAGGCACGAAATATTTTCATATCGCACGTACAGAAACGCGTTTATCACATAAAATCTCCCAGTTAAAGAATATAAATTATAAAAAATAAGTTACAGAATATAATCAGAAATAATGAAGTAATGCAATATGATATGAGCCAATATGGATGGTGTATGTATATATAATAATTTTTATTGTTACAAATATCCAGCCAAACTTCGCGCCGCATTTTTGTCGGTCTTAAAAAAACAGTTCTTACATACCGGAATCCACTAAAACGAATTAAATTAACGAGCAATTTAATATTTTTGATGCAAACAAAAACAAAGAATATAAATTATTCTATCTAAAAAAAGGACACGTTCGATGCTTCTCACAATTGATTCTTTTTGCTTAGTTCTTTGAGCGACTATCGTTGAATATTTGACAGTTGCATTGACATTGATATGTAACATATCAAGTACAGTAAAAAATAAAAAAATGTTAAACAACGCGCGCGTCTGTAATGCTATAGTAAATTATAAAAACCGAATTGTTTTTTTTGCGGATAATTCTTTCGATGTTATTATTTGTCAAGAAATAAAATCCGCGAACAATCAATTCGACGTTGATCCTACCATTTTATCGAGTTGACGAGCGATGTTGTCAGCTGAACAATGAATAACGAAATGCTCGCGGGTACGAGAGCGACGTTAGATATTATTGGGCGACCCTGATCTTTAGCCAAGTTACTGACCCTGTTCGAAGTCTTCAGTGCCATTGTGAGGAGAAGCTAGACCGGAAGGATTCAGCATGGCCGACTAATGGTAGCGGCCAATCGCTGCACTCTCCATGACAGCTGCGCATCCCTCGGAAACTCGCTCGCTCGCTGGTCCCTCTCCTCTGCTCGCGGCCGAGATGTAGCACGGGATCGGGGGCCTAACTTTCTGATTTTTGCCTTACGAAGTCAGCCATTGTGAAAGGGAGGGGGGCCCGTTTTCGCCCGAGTATATCAGGCTGACGTGCGTGATCCTTCATGTGGTCTTAAGTCGTAACCGGTCTCATAATTGTCTGTCGCACACACGTGCTTTTTAACGTCTTAAACGCGCGCGCCCAACATCGGGGGTACGGTCCTTTGAACGCCGATGTCGTAACACAAGGAGAAAGGATACTTCTGAAAAGCTGTCGCGGTGTCGTGTGACGTTTCTACCTCGCGAAAGGTAGAAATCGCGAAATGAAAGCACTCATACTCGTGTCACCAGGCTTTTATCTTTGAATACTGATGATTTGATTGCAAATCGTTTTTAGAAATAGTAAACGA